GCCCCGTGCCGTGTCCCCCCGCAGCCCTGCAGCCCCGTGCCGTGTCCCCCCATAGCCCTGCTGCCCCGTGCCGTGTCCCCTTGCTCTGCCCAAGCCGTTGCCTGCATAGCCCTGCTTCCCTGTTTAGTGCCCCCCTCGCTCCCACTCCATATCCCTTGCACTGCCGTAAATGTCCCTCCCGGATGTGCTGCTGTGCGGTGCTGTGCCCCCCTTGCTGCCTCCTACAGTCCTGCTCTGCCACAGATACCCCCGCAGCGCCCTGCTCTCCTGTTCTCTGTCCTCCTTCTCACCCACAGCCTGCTCTGCCACACATGTCCTCCCTCCACAGCCCTGCCGTCCTGTGTCTGTGCCCCCCTTGTGCTGTGCCCCCAGCCCTCCTATGCTACGGATGCCCCCTCAAAGCCCATCCCTGCCTTAGCTGTACCCTCCTGCCTGTCCCCCAGCCCTGTTTTGCTACAGATGTTCTCCTCCCACTGCTCCTTGTTATCCCGTGTCCGTGCCCTCTTGTCCGCTTCCCTGCCCCCCTTGCCCCATAGCCCCTCAGCTGCAGACGTACTCCTGCTCCTTTCCCTGCTCCACCATGGCTGTGCTCCGTACTCCTGCTCCTTTCCCTGCTCCACCATGGCTGTGCTCCGGCATCCTCCCCCTGCAGCCCTGCTCCCCCCTAGCTCTGCACCCTCTTGCTCTCTCCTGTAGCTGCTCCTTGGGGCTCTGCAGCCCTTTGCATCCCCCTCGCCAGAGCCCTGTTCCCCATGGCTCTGCACCCCGAGGCCGTGCATCCCTCTTGCGTGCCCTGTGCTCTGCTCATCCCGCRCATTGCTGTTCCCCCTTGCTGGGCTCTGCTTTTCCTGTGGTTCTGCACCACCTGCCCCCTTCCCCCCATACTTATTCCTTGCTCCCTGCTGTGCCTATTTCTACCCTACTGTGGCTGTCTCCACTGCTCCGTGTGCTCTGCTGGTGCTCTGTGCCCCCTGTCCTGCCTCACTGCTCCCCAGGCTCTGCACCTCGGCTCCCACATGGYCCCTCGGCAGGACCTCCTTGCTCTCCAGGGAAGAGTGGCCATCCCCTGGGAGGAAACTTGCCTTGGAGGGGGGAGGGGGGCTCTCCCAGATCCACTGCGTTTGGAATCTTCCCCCCAGCCTGGCCTCCAGGAAGCCTGTGCACTGCTTTGCATCCTTTTCCTTGAGTTGAAAAGGATGCAAAGCAACCACCGAGGGTGGTTGTCCCCATTGCATCTCTGCTTTCTTATTTCCCAGCTCAGGTTTTCTCTTCCCCCTGCCTCCTTGCTCTCTTTTGCCCTTACCGACTCTTTCCCCCCCCCCCCCCCCCCCCCCCCCCCGCCCTCAAAGTGGTGCTGCCAAAAAAACGGCACAATCAGGAGCTCCACCCAGTGCTCCAGTTTGCAGCTCTGCTTCCCATTTTAACTTATCCTTTGAGCAAGACAACTAGGACAGTGTTGTTTTTTGCTTGGCTGCTTTCTGGTAGCACAGGGTGGAATGGCCATGACTGTGGCTGTGTCACAACACAGCCAACAGCTATGGCTGTGTCTTGCTTGTAAGTGTTAGTTCTCTATGGCTGTGTGGTGGCAGAATCCAGTTTCCAKCAGAGTGCTTATGCGGGAAAGTCCATCTCTGCTATCCCAGATGACTCATCACCAAGATGAGTTTTGTGCCTCATCCTTTTAGCATTTTTTTTTTTTTTCTCCTTAATTATTGTTATTATAAGATTCTGTCCTTCCAAAGCAAAATGCTGCAGAGAGCTGCCCAGTTGCAATAGGGAATTCTCTCTGCGTATGACAAAATATGCTGCAAGGAGGAAAGGAGTGATCTCTATATTTAAGGAAACGGTTTTGAATCTCGAAGAGATCTGTACCAAATGTTTGAGGAAGATTTTTAAATTCCGTGGTTGATGAAGCACTGCAGTAGACTGCTGGGGAGAGACTGTGGGCTCTGTATTCCTTGAGGTTTGCTGAGATACGTATTGGATGAATGTTGTTATGAATGGCTTKAAGAGAGCTGATGCAGACTTGCAGCACTAAGAGTTAAGTTGATGGTATTTATAGGTCTTTTCCAGCCATATTTTCTGTAACTACACAAAATGATTTTGTAGCTCTTTATCGCTGTTTACTTTTTATGAATTGTTACTGCTGTATTTTTTTTTTCCTTAGGGAAAAAAACAGCCTTATCTCTGGATAGTTTTAGACCAAAAGTGGAAGAAAATAGAGGATTAGATGTTAACAATATTTGGTTTGTTCATGGATTTTAACTAACTGATTCTGGTTTTCAAATTGAAAAAATTGAAATTTGTATCTCCTTTTCATGTTAATAATACACAACAGAGTGTGTATCCTTTAGCTTCCTTATTTGTGGTGGGATGTGGGTTAGTAAATGAGATTGGTATCCTTTATAYACAACTGAAGTATAATGAATGGTTGATAGTATCTAATTCCTTAACCATAAAAAATTGTGTATCTCTTGAGAAAATCCAAATCAAAGGCTAACTGCTGAATATTTTATCAGCAACTATTTTGTCTGGTATATTGATTGTAAGAACCTTATTACCAAACAGTGCAGCATTGCATTAGAGCCTAATGTCTCTCTCTATCCTCCTTTTATCATTAACAATAAATGTTGGGTTCMTGATTACTCTTGTTTTATACTATAGCCCTCCATCATCACATTTTAAGCTTTCTTTGAGCGGGRTTTCATCAAATCTTTCTTCATGTTACCTCAGTTGCTTTTTATTTATCCTAATTCAGTGGACAATTTTAAGCTTCTAGATGAAGAGAGTCAAGAGACAGCAAGCACAAAAAGCTTGATGAACCTCAGACTTTGACAACCTTTCCTCTCATCATGACTCTCACCCTCATTCCTCATGATTTTATTTTCCAAGCTGATTTCTCATAGTGTTTATTTTACATTTTTCTGTCCTGTTTGGCATTCATATACTAATCTTCATTTCTGTTTCTGAGAATAATGGTTGCTTCTGCTTTGACTTTGCCAGCCACATATATATATGTTCACTGCATCTCCCAAGTCCCTTTTTAATCCCTATCACCTCATCTTATATATAACAATGCATCAAAATGCGAGTGGTTGGCAGTCAGGTAAGTTTCTCTCTTGCCTTCTTTCTTCTTAACTCCTATTTCTTCCTACTTTTTATTTTTTTTTCTCTCCAATGCATTTCTCAGCTCCTTCGTTTTCCAGGCTTACTACAGCTTTGTCTTAGGCTCTTCTTGTATTTCTTTCCCTGCAGAATCTGAAAGCCTTCAGGGAAATAAAAAAGATTAAAATTGGCATATTTATGTTTTCTCTTGTCTACTATTTACAGTGGTAGATTCTACTGTTTGCTGCCTGCTTTTTCTATCTTTAATTGCTTGGCCTGACCCCAAAATCCCATTCATTATGTGTTTTTGTTTGTTTAATTTTGCTCCCTGTATGGATTTTTAAGTTCTTGCTGCCATCTTTTTCCTTTTCTAGCCTTATTCTGACTTAAAATTGATAGTTACCTTAGTCTGCTTTCCTTATTTTCTGAACTTACAGAACAGAAAATTTACATTTATTGTCAAGCATTTTCTTCTCCCGTATTCCTTCCTGTTTCTATGCTCTGTTGAATTGGCCTACGTTAAGCTCCCTGCAGGCTCCTTTTGGCCAGGCTGCAAGGCGTCTACTCCTATTTTACCCTCCTTGACCTCTGTTTCTTTTGATGCTGTCAGTAATCCTCCACATCCTCATGTCTTATTCTCACTGGGCTTCTGCAATACAGTCCTCTTCTTATTCTTCATTGCCTTCTATTTTCTGACTATATTTTCTTCACTGTTTTTTTGTGCTTGTGCTTCAAGGTTGTTTTTTTCTTTCTCTAACTTCTCATTTTCTCCTTTTTCACCAGATTCTTCACCTTGAACTGTTTTGAGTGATGTTAACTTAAACTTTGCACAAACATATCAGGCTGTCTTATTTTCAGTTTACTCATTCTTTGCTGTTGTTTTATTATAGTTTTGCCTGTGGAGACTTTAAGCAAGAAGAATACTTTGCAATGTGTGTGTATTGTTTTTGACCATTCCCTCCCTCATGCCCTTTTTTTTTTTG